ACAGACAATGCGCTTCTTCAACTATTACTGACTCCACACCGAAAGCCCTTCTAATCCATTCCATTAGGTCGGTTGTAGGGAATTTTGTTTACAATTTTTTTTAGTCCAAGATTCACATGATCAGTCGAGCATGGCACAAGCTTATTCGCAACCTTATCATACACTACTAATGCTTTTTAATGTTTTCCAAGTAGTTTCTCCACACGATTGTTGAAGGCATAAAAAAGGAACTTATCGCCAGCGAAAGCGTAACTAAGATGCGAAGAATGAAGAACGAAAGAAACAGTCGATAATTTGTTGATGCGACAATGATTGTACCATGTTCGATTGACTAATACTTCTCAGCTGAATAAACATTTCAATGAAAACATTTTTACATCTCTATAAGAGATCCATACATGAGAAAGTTAGATTAAAATGTCAGAAGCCAAACTAGCAACGCCGACGATTTTGGGAGAATACTGAGGCAAGTGTCCAAACAACAAACGCCTACTAAGCGTTGCAGTGCAGGTACATTATACATCAGGATTCAAAAATTGGCGGACACCCACAAGCCATTACTGTACCAGTTCTTGGTTCGCGATTGCAGTCTATTTGGCAAAGGTAAAGTAATCAGTTTCTCGTAGGTATGCATAATATCACACAAGCAAATAAACATGATCCAGGCAGGAGAAAAGTAGTTTTATGGGTAAAACGTTCTGACACGTTGAGAATTTGCTCATGGATGCCACCTAAACAAAAGTGCTACTTACTAACGATATAGTAGCAGCTATTCATGCATGGTGAATGGAGTAGGCCTACTGCGTGGAACAATTTCACCAATAGGCTTGTAGTGTTTAAATATGAATAAAGAGTATTTTCGAATGCAAGAATCAGTTTCACGACGTTTCAATTTCCACCTTCAACCAAAAGTTATGAACTTAAACAATATAAAGTTTAACTAGCACAGGAGAGGTAGACGCACTTTCGCGACATGGAGGCTAACCCTCTCGACTTCTGATAATCAACATCCCTTTCCATTATTCGTAGAGTCGACAGTAGTCACCAAATCACTTGAATGAGAATGATCTCATAACAATTTATTTAAAAAAGATAGGATTATACAAACCCAACAGGAGCAATAAAGGCGGTCAAAGGAAAGGAATGGAAGGGAGAGGAGAGGAAGGACGTGAGCAAGAATTATCGGTGCTTTCGCACAAGGCCAGTGATATGCGTGTACTGGGAATATTACATTACTCAGGGGTATACAAAATGAAATTGAGAAAATAAACAACTTAGACGAAATAAAACAAAATATCGAGCGCTTTGGAGATCCCACCAAGGCTTTCTGCGGGTGTATTCCCTTGCTCCACACCTGAGATACTTCCATGAATTCACAAGCTTGAGCTCTGGCGTGATTGAAAGATATTTGAGGTTTTGCGATTAAAGAAGCATTTAATATGCCTACATAATGGCATAAATAGTGCTATTCAGCACAGAATCAATGAAGTTACTTCATTCAGTATTCATAAAATATTAACTAATAGTAGAGACCAAGGGTAAAAGGCATAATACATACGCTAAATAGTACCTTCAAAAGGTTTTAGAATCGAGCCACCTTATCTGGAGGTTCGGTAGGTTCAACAGCAAACTTTGATTGGTACATCGACGAAGACCTCCGGTAGGACGTTTGAGAATTTCGGTTACCTCGTCTTTAAAAATAACATAAAGTGAACGTGGCGCAGCCGTTTCAGGTTGACATTTCTGCTATAAGAGGTTGCCCTTTGGAGCCCACCAACCAAAACCATGGAAATGACTACCACTACCTCGAGGATATACGTAATTAGAGGGAGGTATAACCGGTGTGTGATTACAAAAAAGCGTAGTCTTTTCCGGTTCCTCTTTAAAATGTGATCAAAGATATATGACAACGGGAAGAGTTTGGGAAGAACATAATCAACGAATTCAATGGCAATGGATGAAATCAAACTTCCGTTCAATGATTTCATCAAAAAAATGGTTAAATAGACAAGGTAAATGTTCCAGTAAGCGATGACACTGGCTTCCAAGCCTGGTTAAAGTAAACCTCCTTTTAAAAAACACAAATTAGGTGCTTTGCGTCAAGTTTTATCAAAACCAAAAAAAAGAAATAAGGGAACTGCTAAAAGGGAGGAACTCGACACAGTTAAAAAATACAGAGTGACCCCAAAATGCTAAGAATAGAAGGTGGTCCGAAATAAATATGGGCTTCTTGTACAAGATGTATCATTCAAGTCCAATTTTTCAGAGCCTTCAAGCTTAATAATTGCATTCTAAGCGTCACAAATTATGAGCGCCGTCAATTTTCAAAATGAACAAACACAAACGAACTCTAAGTTCACATACAATTGAGCTCGGCTCACATCCTCACTGCTTTCAGCGTTGAGGTCGATCGAGACATCCCATGCCTCTTCGTCGGAGTCCACTCCAGAAGGCTCTACAACACTAACACTCCTCAGTCGGACTACAGTCCCGAAATCACCACTCCGTCCTGCAGCCAAGCCACCTCCACTCTCCACCTCATCGTTTCCCACCTTCCTACCCAAACGTCTATGTTTAGTCGTCTGAATGCGCCCTATCTGATGTCCACCAACAGTGTCGTGTGGCCTACACTTTGGCCGACTGCCTCCACCACTTGCCATCATCACCGATGATGAAGATGAAGGAACTGTGGCAGTGGAATGGGCTCTGTTAAATGTGCTGAGGAGCTCATGTAATCGACTGGCCAAGAGAGATGTTCGAACAGGCAGAACAGTATCGCCGGGGGATTCGTCGCTGTGCAAATTGGGCTAATGGAAATGTAAAACATGCGCATCAATCTTATTAAAATACTATTTCTCACACAATGCATCCACAAAACAGCAGCACTAAAGATGGATATACGGCATTGAGTAAAACAAGCCGACAGAATTTTCGTATACCTTTGCTAAAATGAGAAGCTTATTCAGTCTTTAAAGGTACAGCCTTCTTGTAAAACTGCTAAAGCTTTGATTGTAACCACCTTTTATGCTGTTTAAATGTTCTTTGTAAATATTTCAACAGTACCTTATGAAAAGAAAAAAAATGCCTGAGTGCCCTAGAATAGCTAACTAGAAAACAAGTTTTCTGATAATGAAGCACCTTCAAACACAGTTATTTCGATGAAGAAAAAAAAGCATAAAATACATTTCGAGGAGTTCTCAACGGAGAGGACAATAGAAGCGAGTGAAATCATACTATTATCTTGGAAGTAATGACGGGATCGAGACTGCAGTCAACCTTGGTCGCCCCAGAGCTAGGCTGGGGGATGTCTGAAGCCTGAAGGAAGGCAGAGAGATCACCGGGTTGTTTCACCCCCGACACCGACTGCTGAGGCTTGGTGAGAGCCTTGCGTTGTCTGCCGTCTACGACAATACACCGGCTGCGTGCACCCTCGCTCGGGCACGTAGAGACGAAGCCGGAGCGCTTCCCTTGTGAAGCTGTCTGTGGTAGTGATCGCAATAGCGGTGGTGGCTGTATTGCGGAGTCATTTCCAGGCTGTTGAGTGGTGGTGGAAGTTGATAAGACAGCAACGGTGGACGATAGTTGCTGCACCTTCTCACAGAGGCGTGCGTGAACCTTTGCCGAGTCCCTTGTTGGTGTCGCTCCACGCGGCGGCGGTACGGGCGATCCCAACTTCGACTTAACATTTTAACCATTAGACGATTATCAGTTATAAATTTGCCAGAAGAGCTTATAACACGCTATGGATGAAATTAAAAACAGTACAAGGAGTAAAAAGAACTAGAAGTAATTTAACAAATACCAGAAAATCACTCCTGCACGTTTTAAAGTGTTCTATTCGAGTATAATCAACTTAAAGGAATCGAAGGGTAAAAGAATGGTTGATGTGCTAACCTTGAGGTTAAGGTATTTCACATAACAACCTTTAACCGAAAGTGCCGCCAGATTATCAAATGAAAATAAAGGCATAAATCCTGTCCCTGACAGTTAAAATATTATGAAAATAAAGGCTGTTCAAAGAAGACTGTTTAAGGAGAAGCAAGGGAAGAGCATTCACCCTCACACTGTCTTCATCAGTAAAGCCTTGCAAATGAAAATGGAACATATGCTAGAAGGAATGCTACCTCGACATCCATTTTTGCCGCTCTCAGAGCTTCCTCCATGCTGACGATACGATCAAAGTCCAATCTTCGTCGCTTCTCCCTTTTTGTCTGCAGATAGTTTTCGCGAAGATGGTTCCAAAGACTCTTGTGGTTGTTTTGTCTCAGCATCGTGGCGTACTCGGCCAGAGTAGATGGCAGTGGTGCGTTTTCCATGGTAATACCACCACCGGCGCTGCCACCTGCATCGAAGCCTTGATTAACCGCGTTATTATCTCGTTGGTTATCGTTGCTGCCGTCGTTATTGTTGTGTCGATTGAGCGTGTAGAGTTGGCCAAACATTCCGTACGCCTTGTCACCCTCCTGAGTGACAGGAGGTGGAGACGTCTCCTTGCGTATGGGAGCGATACCAATATCACGCACTGCACGGAAATTACCGCAATTGTTCAGATGCTCGTTTTCAAGACGAAAAAAGTTCCAAATTATTCGCCTGCAAGCATGACATAAAAAATACTATTATTATTAAAATCAATTTCTTGGACAAAACTACTCATATAGGCTAGATCATTTGCCATGAAAACACAAAATGAGAAAAGGCTTTTTTTTCAGACCTGAAACAGATATAAAAAGCTGGATTACTACTATGCGCTTTGAAGACAAGAAACGAATTTTTTTTCTCCCATATG